AACGCCATCCAGATGTTTCCAATTGTCACATCTAGGTTACTGATTTTTTTTTTTTTTTAGACGGAGTTTCACTCTTGTCACCCAGGCTGGAGTGCAATGGTGCAATCTTGGCTCTCTGCAACCTCTGGCTCCTGGGTTCAAGCAATTCTCCTGCTGGGTTCAAGCAATAGCCTCCGGAGTAGCTGGGATTACAGGCACATGCCACCAAGCCTGGCTAATCTTTTTATTTTTAGTAGAGACGGGGTTTCGCCATGTTGGTCAGGCTGGTCTTGAATTCCTGACCTCAGGTGATTCACCCTCTTCGGCCTCCCGAAGTGCTGGGATTACAGGCATGAGCCACTGTGCCTGACCAGGTTACTGATTTTTAACCAGGAGTGTCTGTGCTCCAGGAGATATTTGGAAAAGTTTGGATAAACTTATTAACTAGGTGACAAAATACTCTGTACACAAAACCCTCACAACACACAAATTGCTTATATAGAAAACCTGCACATGTACCCCTGAACCTAAAATAAGACTTAAAAAATTGTCCTTACTGCCCAAAATTCAAGAGCTAACTGGGTTTGGATAGTCCTATGGCTGAATATTTTTGTCCTGTCCAGGATATTTATGTCCTAATCCCCAATGAGAAAACTTCCACAAGGTAGACTCAGATATGATTTTTTTAAAGCATGACATTAAATCATTTATTATGGGGATGTTTTGTTACACAGCTTTAGATTACTGATACAATAATCAAAGCAACATAACTAAAGATATTCAGAATATTCATTTTTTAGGTGTTAGATCTTTTTTTAGCTTTTTATTGGATTCAGTGTATTCAGAATATTCTGTTGGCTCTTATTTATTTATTTTTTTTTTAGTGCTTTATCTGATATTTGAAGGTGCTGTTCATAGTTAATGGATATTTATGTTTACTTCACATAATGGCCTCCAGGATCAGCCATGTTGCTGCAAAGGACATGATCTCATGCTTTCTTATGGATGCATAGTATTGCATGGTGTATATGTACCATATTTTAAAAAGTCCAGTCAATCATTGATTGGCGTTTAGGTTGATTCCATGTCTTTTCAAATGTGAACAGTGCTGCAATGAACATACTCATGCTTCTGTCTTTACAATAGAAGGATTTATATTCCTTTGTATATATACCCAGTAATGGGATTGCTGGGCCGAATGATATTTCTGTCTTTAGGTCTTTGAGGAATCACCACACTGTCTTCCACAGTGACTGAACTTATTTACACTCCCACCAACAGTGTAAAAGTGATCATTTTCCTCCACAACCTTGCCAGCATCTGTTATTTTTTTGACTTTTTAATTATGGCCATTCTGACTGGTGTGAGATGGTATCTCATTGTGAATTTGATTTGTATTTCTCTAATCAGTGATGTTAATAATTTGTTCATATGACTGTTGGCTGCATATATGTTTTCTTTTGAAAACTGTCTGTTCAAAAGGACAAATATGTTTTTGGAGAAGTGAGTTGTGACCTTGATTCACACAAGTCTTTATTTCCAGGGGCAATACTGGGCAGAAATTCAAGCTCTTATGTGAGTCTTCCTTTGATCATGAGGGTTGTAGAGAGTTTATAGTATTAAAGAGATAAAGCAATGGCTGATAAATTAAACACCCATATTGTTTACTTATCTTCACTTTAATGTTTATCATGCAATATTTCTTTTTTGTTTTTTGGAATCGGAGTCTTGCCCCATTGCCCAGGCTGGAGTGCAGTGACGTGATCTCAGTTCACTGCAATCTCCGCCTCCCAGGTTCAAGTGATTCTCTTGCATCAGCCTCCCGAGCAGCTGGGACTCCAGGCGTGTGCCACCACGCCCCGCTAATTTTTGTGTTTATAGTAGAGACAGGGTTTGGCCATATTGGCCAGGCTGGTCTCGAACTCCTGACCTCATGATCCACCTGCCTTGGCCTCCCAAAGTGCTGGGATTACAGGCATGAGCCACTGCTCCCGGCCTATGACGCAATTTTTTAAAGGGAAAGATATTTGTTAGTACAATGGAAAGAGTTGTATTTGCAGGTAGCACAGGAAAATTTTAGGTAGAATGAAGATGATACAGTAAAATTTCATAGACCATGACATCAAATCATTCACTCAAATGAAGAAACTTCATTACACATGGACACCAAGATTCCACACTCCAAATGTTCCAGAGTAAGTCCATGCATGACCAAAAATTTTACTCTATCGTAGTTAAGATAACCTCTGAGTCCAGATGAAGTCAACTGACGTACACTAATTTGTGTGTTTAGACTACACTTCAAACAAGGATGTCATATGCAATTTTTGTCTTCTTTGTTTTTGTTTGTTTTTTTGTTTGTTTTCCAGAGTCTTGCTCTGTTGCCAGGCTAGAGTGCAGTGGCAAGATCTCAGCTCACTGCAACCTCTGCCTCCCCGGTTCAAGTGATTCTCCTGCCTCAGCTTCCTGAGTAGCAGGGATTACAGGCACGTGCCACCATGCCCAGTTAATTTTTTTATTTTTAGTAGAGACGTGGTTTCACCATGTTGGCCAGGATAGTCTCGATCTCTTGACCTTGCGATCTGCCTGCCTCGGCCTCCCAAAATGCTGAGTGCTGGGATTACAGAGTCTTCTTTGTTTTTAATCAGAAATATAGTAGGCATTGTGGACATGGAGATGACTAGAGAACAGGATCTTTTTTCTTCTTCTTCTTCTTATTTCAACATTTTATTTAACAATAGATTACTTTCCTCACAGATGTCTTTTCCTGGCAGAGAATATTTTACAGGCCTTTTAAAAGGGCCATTCATCCTTGACCATAATAAATTCCTAATGTATCTTTTTAAAAATTATACTTGAAGGAGTGGCCAGCCCCTCCACACCTGTGGGTGTTTCTCGTCGGGTGGGACAAGAGACTGAGAAAAGAAATAAGACACAGAGAAAAAGTATAGAGAAAGAGAAGTGGGCCCAGGGGACTGGCACTCAGCATATGGAGGACCCACGCCGGCACTGGTCTCTGAGTTTCCTCAGTATTTGTTGATCATCATCTCTACCATCTTGGAGAGGTGGATGTGGCAGGACTATAGGGTAATGGTGGGGAGAGGGTCAGCAGGAAAACATGTGAACAAAGATCTCTGTGTCATAAATAAGTTTAAGAAAAGGTGCTCTGCTTTGATGTGCACGTACACAAACATCTCGGTGCATTAAAGAGCAGTATTGCCACCAGCATGTCTCACCTCCAGCCATAAGGCGGTTTTCTCCTATCTCAGTAAATAGAACATACAATCGGGTTTTACGCGGAGACGTTCTATTCCCAGGGACGAGCAGGAGACAGATGACTTCCTCTTATCTCAACTGCAGAGAGGCCTTCCTCTTTCGCTAATCCTCCTCAGCACAGACCCTTTACGGGTGTCGGGCTGGGGGACGGTCAAGTCTTTCCCTTCCCATGAGGCTGTACCTCAGACTATCACATGGGGAGAAACCTTGGACAGTACCTGGCTTTCCTGGTCCCTGCAGCGGCAGTGCATTGTGTCCCTGGGTACTTGAGATTAGAGAATGGCGATGACTTTTAACGAGCACACTGTCTTCAAGTACTTTTTTTAACAAAGTGCATCCTGCACAGCCCTAAATCTATTAAACCTTGAGTCAACACAGCACAGGTCTCTGCAAGCACAGGGTTGGGGCTAGGGTTACAGATTAACAGCATCTCAAGGCAGAAGAATTTTTCTTGGTACAGAACAAAATGGAGTCTCTTATGTCTACTTCTTTCTACGTAGACACAGTAACAGTCTGATCTCTTTCTTTTCCTCACATTACTTTAAGTTCTAGAGTACATGTGCACAACCTGCAGGTTCATTACATATGTATACATGTGCCTAGTTGGTGTGCTGCACCCATTAACTCATCATTTACATTAGGTATATCTCCTAATGCTATCCCTCCCCCGTCTTCCCACCCCATGACAGGCCCCGGTGTGTGATGTTCCCCACCCTGTGTCCATGTGTTCTCATTGTTCAATTCCCACCTATGAGTGAGAACATGTGGTGTTTGGTTTTCTGTTCCCATGTTAGTTTGCTCAGAATGATGTTTTCCAGCTTCATCCATGTCCCTACAAAGGACACAAACTCATCCTTTTTTATGGTTGCATAGTATTCCATGGCATATATGGGCCACATTTTCTTAATCCAGTCTATCATTGATGGACATTAGGGTTGGTTCCAAGTCTTTGCTATTGTGAATGGTGCCATAATAAACATACATGTGCATGTGTCTTTATAGCAGCATGATTTATAATCCTTTGGGTATATACACAGCAATGGGATGGCTGGGTCAAATGGTATTTCTAGTTCTAGATCCTTGAGGAATCGCCACACTGTCTTCCACAATGGTTGAACTAGTTTACAGTTCCACTAACAGTGTAAAAGTTTTCCTATTTCCCCACATCCTCTCTAGCACCTGTTGTTTCCTGACTTTTTAACGATCACCATTCTAACTGGTGTGAGATGATATATCATTGTGGTTTTGATTTGCATCTAGAGAACATGATCTTAATGCAGAGGATAAAATGCCACTACTGGCTATAAACACTCTAGTATATTAAACTTTACCATTGTGAGGAGGAGCAGTTAAGGCAGTGATAGAGAAAGAAATGACAGACACGAATGTAGAAAACTGTGGTCTCAGCTATTCATCCACAATAAGAGTATATTAATAATTTTTATAGTCGCCATTCTTGGTTCTTTGTGTGAATGCAACTCACCACTGCATGAGACTAACAGGAATCTCCACCTTGTTTCTGACCTTAGTCTGGGAATAACTTTGGGAAAGTAGGAAAATGACAAAGGAGAAAATGGTTGACTATCTGAGAGCTGAAAGCTTCTTAAAGAAAATGCATACGTTTTATAAAGCAGTTAAGATCATGGAATCTGAAACTCCAAGAAATTAACAGAAGGGGCCATTTCTACTTCCACCATCTGACTAATAAATCATAGTTTCTGGGTCTGGGGCTTAGAGTTGTGGCATTACAGGCCCTTCTTGGAAAACAGCCCTTTTATTGTTTTCCCTCTGAAGAATTGTGTCAGAGCCCCCTTTATGTCTTTATTCCTCAGGCTGTAGATGAAGGGGTTCAGCATGGGGGTAACCACAGTGTACATCACCGAGACTGCAGCACTTGAGTGTGAGTTGTGGGTTGCAGCAGAACTAAGGTACACACCTAGGATTGTACAATAAAATAAGGAGACAACCGAGAGGTGAGATGCACAGGTGGAAAATGCCTTGTACTTCCCCTGAACTGATGAGATTGCATGTATAGAGGAGACGATCTTAGAGTAAGAGTAAAGGATCCCAATGAGACATCCCCCACCCAGCAGCACAGCTGACAAATACATCACCATGTCATTAAGAAAAGTGTCAGAACAGGTAAGGTGGATGATCTGATTAAGTTCACAGAAAAAGTGGGGAATTTCCAAGTCTGCACAGAAGGAAAGGTGCAATACCATTAAGCTTTGCAACGAAGAATTCAGGGCACTCGTGATCCAGGACGCCAGAACCAGCAGTCCACAGAGCCTGGGGTTCATGGTGACCGTGTAGTGCAGGGGGTGACAGATGGCCACAAACCTGTCATAGGCCATCACGGTCAGCATAAAGAGGTCCAATCCTGCAAAGAATATGAAAAAGCACATCTGGCTGATGCAGCCTGCGTAGGTGATGACTTTGTTCTGTGTCTGGATGTTCACCAGCATCTTCGGGACAGTGGTGGACACAAAACAGACGTCTACGAAGGACAGGTTGGAGAGGAAGAAGTACATGGGAGTGTGGAGGTGGGAGTCTGAGATTGTGGCCAGGATGATGAGCAGGTTCCCCAGCATGGTGACCAGGTACATGGACAAGAACAGCCCAAAGAGGAAGGGCTGCAATTCTGGTTCCTCTGAAAGTCCCAGGAGAAGAAATTCTGAAATCTGTGTATCATTCTTTGCTTTCATCTGGTTGACGTTTCTACCAAAAAGAGAAAATAACATGACACACACACGCACTACAAACCCAGCAGAAATGCTGTTATATATATTGTATATCCCATGGTGAAGAAGGTATTGTCTTTTACTTTTAAAAGTTGATTTACTTTTATTTTGACAGATAAATACTGTGTCTTTATTGTGTACACCATGATATTTGAAGTATGTTTACACTGTGGAATGGCTAAAATCTAGCCAGCGATCATTTCTTCTTTCCTTCTTTTCTTTCTTTCTTTCTTTCCTTTCTTTCTTTCTTTCTTTCTTTCTTTCTTTCTTTCTTTCTTTCTTTCTTTCTTTCTTTCTCTTTCTTTCCTTCTTTCTTTCCTTTTTCTTTTCTCTTTCTTTCTCTTTCCTTCCTTCTTTCTTCCTTCCTTCCTTTTTTCTTCTTCTCTTTCTTTCTTTCTCTTTCTTTCCTTCCTTCCTTCCTTTCTTTTTCTTTCTTTCCTTCTTTCTTTCTTTTTCTCTCTCTCTCCTTCCTTCCTTCCTTTTTTTTTTTTTTTTTTTTTGATAGTCTTGCTCTGTCACCAGGCTGGAGTGCTCGGCTCACTACCACCTCCGCCTCCTGGGTTTAAGCAATTGTCCTGCCTCAGCCTCCCTAATAACTGGGATTACAGGCATGCACCACCATGCCCAGCTGTTTTTATTTTTTGTATTTTTTGTATTTTTAGTAGAGATGGGGTTTCTCCATGTTGGTCAGGCTGGTCTTGAACTCCTGACCTCAGGTGATCTGCCTGCCTCGGCCTCCCAAAGTGCTGGGATTACAGATGTGATCACCAGGTCCGGCCTGCAATCATCTTACATAGTCATCATGTATGATCAGAACACTTAACATCCACCCCCCATGCATTTTTCAAAAATACAATATATTACTATTAACTATAATATATTACCATTATTGGTTTATGTATATGATTATATTACCATTAGCACCATGCTGTACAATAGATCTCTTGAACATCATCCTTTTTTCTAGCTTAATTTTGTATCCTTTGGCCAACATTTCCCCAGCCCTCCTCAACAACCCTCCCATCCTCTGATAATCTCCATTCTACAAGAATTCAGTCTTCCTGTCTAACTGTAATTTTATATCCTCTGATCAACATGTCCCCAACCCACCCTCCCAACACCCCCAACCTCTGGTAACCTCCATTCTGCAAGAAGTTAATTGTAGTATTTTCTATGTGAATCTGGTCCCAATTAGGGGATCCTCTTGCCATCTTGGATTAGGAATTCCTGTCCCACTCTCAGCCTTTCCCTGGAGGCATGTACTCTACAGTATTGATGAGAAAATCTTCCATGCATTTGAGGAATATAAAGTGAATTTTGACGCGTTTCAGGCACTGTCCAGTAAATGAGTATGTGGTGTTATGTAACAAAAGTCTCTACAATCTAATGACCAAGAGACAATACAAGAAAAAAATTTAAATGCCATGTATTATGTCACATGGCAACAAATTCTATGGTGAGGAAGAAAGATGCTAAGAAAAAAAGTATCGAAGGAACATTATTATTATTATTGAGATGGAATCTTGCTCTGTCACTCAGGCTAGAGTGCAGTGGCACAATCTTGGCTCACTGCAACCTCCACCTCCCAGGTTCAAGCAATTCTCCTGCCTCAGCCTCCCTAGTTGCTGGGATTACAGGTGTGCACCATCCCCAGCTAATTTTCGTATTTTTAGTAGAGACTGGGTTTTGCCATGCTAGCCAGGCTGGTCTCAAAGAGAGAGCATTATGTTAACTGGGTATTCATGGAAGACCAGCAGATGATTCGACAACTCAACAGTGACTATAATGAAGACAGGGCAGAGTCAACGTGTTCCCTGCAGAAGTGTGTGTAAGACAGAAGGGAGCCTCAATGAAAGATCCTGAGAAATGTGCTTCTTTCCCATGTTTGAAGCCAATGAGGAAGCCAGTGTGACAGGCGAATGAACATGAGCAGAGGGATGAGAGATGGCGTCAGAAGATGTTGAGGAATAAGGTGGCCTTGTAGCTGCTGAAAATGAAGACAGAAGGAGCCCCTCAGTCCAGATGTTGCATTTGCACTCTATTAATATGCTCGCAAAGGTGTCCCATGAATTGCAATGCATATTCTCTTTATTTCTCTCTGTTGTCTTGAGTTCTGGCCTTTATATTACGACTTATGTTTTAGAATATAGAGACTGGGCTGGGCGCAGTGGCTCACGTCCGTAATCCCAGCCCTTTGGGAGGCCGGGGTGGGTGGATCACTTGAGGTCAGGAGTTCGAGATTGGCCTGACCAACATGGTGAAACCCTGTCTCTGCTAAAAACACAAAATTAGCTGAGCATGGTGGCACATGCCTGTAATCTCAGCTACTCGGGAGGCTGAGGCAGGAGAATAGCTTGAACCCAGGAGGCGGAGGTTGTGGTGAGCCGAGATCAGGCCATTGTACCCCAGCCTGGATGACAAGAGCAAAACTCCATCTAAAAAAAAAAAAAAAAAAAATATATATATATATATATATATGTATGTATGTATAAACCAGGTTGCTTTTTCTTAAACCTGGTCTCATCCTAAAGGCATGCACACACAGTACACAGACACACGTGCAGCACACCATGGCTTAGAGGATCATGTTATTCCCATGTTCTTCCATCCCAGTTGTGCTGTCGGAAAGGAATGGCGAGCAGGAAAGCTATGAATATCAAATTACCTCTCCCTGAAGGATACAGAAACGGCACCTACAATTTCACTTTGGAAACTTCCCATGCATATGTGAACTCAAAGCTCCATTTTGGGATGGCCATTTTCTGCCTTGTGTTTAAAGAAATACACGAAATCTAACCAATAAGCAGAGGAAGTCAAGAACTAACAGGACTTGAATGGGAGAAAACAGATGTAATAAGCTCAGATCATTTCAGAGAGACTTTAAGAAAGAAAAAGCTTTCTTAGTTTTGGAGTCTTTCCAACTCCTGTTAGGTTCCCTTGGTGCCCAGCAAAAATAATAAAAGACAAAGATAAATTTACCAAAAGACAAATGTTATATTAGATTTTCTTTGTCAAAACACTTACAGATGGAGAACCCCAACAGAAAGACTGAGAAAATGAAATAAAGCAAGAAGTCAAAAAGGAAATATACAAGGAAACCAAAATTGTAGCATTTTTAACAGAAAACAGAAAACTAGCTTTTCTTGTGCTGATTCTGTGTTTATTTGACCAATTGGTTTTCATATCATTCGATAGCAGATGAGACAGTCCTCATTTTTCTCATGTGGCATCTTTTCTTTGTTCTTGGTCTTTGGATTTTTAACTCTTTCGGACAAATCTAATGGGCATACTGTAGTCCTGGTTCTTATCCTCATCCAACATGGAAAGGCCTCTCTAAACCATTCTCTATAGAATCCTGCACACTCCAGGGTGATTTAATCCTTTTGCACTGAATAAAATCATGCATAGAATTCACCCTTGAGGGCATTACATCATACATACGTTTATTACATTGACGTTTTTGGTTTTTTTGAGACTGAGTCTGGAGTGCAGTGGCCTGATCTCAGCTCACTGCAACCTCCGCCTCCCGGGTTCAAGCCGATTCTCCTGCCTCAGCCTCCCGAGTAGCTGGGATTACAGGCATGCACCAACATGCCTGGCTCCTTTTTTTTTGTATTTTTAGTAGAGATGGGGTTTCACTATGTTGGCCAGTCTGGTCTCAAACTCCTGACCTCAGGTGATCCATCCGCCTCGACCTCCCAAAGTGCTGGGATTACAGGTGTCAGCCACTGTGCCTGGTCTACTACACTGAACTCTCTCTTCACCATTATATCAAAAGATTCAAATTAGAGGGAACTTCACCTGCTCTGTTTACCCTTGTTTTTTTCACTTACGTATATGAATATGTGTGTGTAATATACAAAAAATTTAAAGCAGGGGGAAGTTATGAAATAAAAAGGATCAGTGGAATAAAGCCAGAAAAAAAATATAGTAAATTAAAAACACTATCTTGGCCAGCCGCGGTGGCTCAGGCCTGTAATCCCAGCACTTTGGGAGGCCGAGGTACACGAGTTACGAGGTCAGGAGATCGACACCATCCTGGTTAACACGGTGAAACCCCGTCTCTACTAAAAACACACACAAAAAATTAGCCAGTCGTGGTGGTGGGCGCCTGTTGTCCCAGCCACTTGGGAGGCTGAGGCAGGATAATCGCTTGAACCCAGGAGGTGGAGGTTTCAATGAGCTGTGATCGCACCACTGCACTCCAGCCTGGGTGACAGAGAGAGACTCCATTTCAAAAACAAAACAACAAGAAACAAAAAACAAAAACAAAAAACACCATCTTAAGCGAATTTGAAGAAGACATTAAAAATTAACCGAAAGAAGATATAAAATAATAACTTAATGGTATCAAAAGGGACTAATTATTTAATTGACAAAGACCTAGACAATAAATTATATAACATATAGTGTCGCTAGAATGTTCTGGCACATGGCAGATACTCATTTGTTATTGAATGAATCAGGAATTAAGTATTAGTACATATGGAGATTTACTATATGAGAAGGTTATATTGCAATTTAGTTGGAAAATGCTGGATTGTGGAACAAAAGCTGCCATAAATGGTTATCTACCTGGAAGACAATGAATTTTGTCCCCTGTCTCATCTTTTACAAAAAATTGGTGGATTTAAATACCTTATAATGTAAACAATATATGTTAGCTGAACATCTAGAAAACTACATATAAAATCTATGTGTATGCAAAGCATGCTAAGGCAAGAAACAGAAGAATATAGACGTATATTTAGGTAAATGAAATTTACAGCTTTTTGTGCTGAAAAGTATTTCCTCAAATGTCAATGAAGAAGCAATACTCTGTAGAAATCATTTGAAATGGTGAAAGCTGTAGAAAAATGGAGATATAATAATAAACAAATCAAAATGGTGATCACATATATGAATCTTTGCTCAAACCCAGTAATGGTTTAATACAAGAATCTCTATCACACCCGTCAGCCTGGAAAAAAACCT